GGGGGGGGGGTGTGTCAGTTGCAAGGAAAATTATGGAAAAAGCTAATAGGTGGGAGAGCTGAGTAGAGGTTATTAAAGTTTCTAGGACAAGTATTAGGGCAGAATATGGAAAGTCGGAATCTAATTTCAGGCACAGCAGATAAGGGGACAACCTAAGAGAAGGCAGACAAGTAACTTAGCACTGAGAATGTTGTACTTAGATGCATGTAGTAAACAAAACAAAGCAAATGAGTTTGTAGCACAGATTGAAATTGGCAAGTAAGATCTCCTGTGTATCACAGAAGTGGCTACAATGGGAACAGGACTATGGACTAAATATCCAAGGCTACATGTCAAATCAACAGGACAGGCAGATGGGCAGAGTGGGCAGGGTTGCCTTGTTAGTATGAAACAAAATTAATGCAGTAGCAAGAAGCAATATAGAGTTGGAAGGTGTAGCACCTGTGTGGGTAGAGGTAAGGAACCACAATGCAAAAAAAAAAGTAGTCGTGTGTGGGGCAGAAAAATCAGGAGATAGAAAAGGCATGTAAGAAAGCACTATTAAAACAATCAAGGGGGATTTCAATATGCAGGTGGATTGGGAAAAATCAGGTTGGTAGTGGATCTCAAGAAAAGGAATTTGTAGAATGTCTACAAGATAGTTTTTTGTTTGGAATAGTTTGTAGTAGAGCCCACTAGGGAAAAGGCAAATCTGCGTTTGGTGACTTGAAATGAGGCAGACTTGATTAGGGAGCTTGAGATGAAGGAACCCTTGGGGGGTAGTAACTGTAATATGATAGCATTCATCCTGTAGTTTGAGATGGAGAAACTGGAATCAGGAAGGAGCTGGTCAGACTTGATTGGAAGGGCAGCCTAGCAGGGAAGATGGTGGAGCAACAATGATAGGAGTTTCTGGGGGGAATTCGAGAGGCTCAGCAGAAATTCATTCCAGGGCAGAAGAAGAAATTTAAATTGAGGATGAGGCAACCATGGCTGACCAGTGAAGTTGGGGACAGCATGAGAAAAAGCATGCAATGTGGTGGAGATCACTTCACCTGACGAAGGGGCAGTGCTTTGACAGCTTGTGATTTCAAATAAACTTGTTGGACTATAAACCAGGTGTTGTGACTTTTGACCTCATCCACCCCAGTCCAACATCAGCATCTCCACATCATGAAGAATATTGGGAAATCTTTGAAACCAGCAGAGGTAACTGAAAAAGCAATAAGAGGGGAGAAGACAAAATGTGAACGATCTAGGTAGTAATATAAAAGAAGGCTGCAAGTGTTTATTTAAATATTAAAAAAAGGTAAAAGAGAGGCAAGGGTGGACATTAACTACTGGAAAATGAGGCTGGAGAAGTAGTAATGCTGAGCAAAAAAATGGTGGAGGCACTGTTTAGGTACTTTGCATCAGTTTTCAGTGGAGTACACCAGCATACCAGGGAGTTGGAGCAGAGCTGAGTGTAGTGGCCATCACTAAGGAGAAGGTGCTATGGAAGCTGAATGGTCTGAAGGTGGATAAATCACCCTTTTCTGTTTGAGGTTGGAGTTTAAAACACAAGAAAGCCTTATTACAACTGTTTGGACTGATGGTGAGGCCACATCTGGAGTACTATGTATACTTTTGCTCCATGTATTTAAAAACAGGATACACTGGCATTGGAAGCAGTTTTCTTCTAACTCTAATGAATAAAGGTCGAACCTGTTCAACCGTTCTTGAAAAATCAGTTCCTTCATCCTAGGAAACAGCCTAACGAATTTCTTTTAAAATAAGAGGGGTGACCTAATTGAAACATACAAGATTTTGAGGGGACTTGACAGGGTAGATGTTGAAGATTTTTCCACCAATGGAAATCTTGAGCTCGGGGACATAGTTACATGATAATGGACACTCGTTTAAAACTGAGATGTGAAGGGATTTCTTTTCCGGGAGAAAAGTAAATGTCTGGAACTCTCTGACTCAGAGAGTTGCGGAGGCTAGATCACTAAAAATGTTTTTGGTAGGTCGATATGTTTTTGAAATATCAGAGAGTTGACGACTATACTGAGCTGGCACAATAAAGGAGTTGAGGCCTGGCACTGATCAGCCATGATCTTGTTGAATTCTGGGGCAGGCTTGAGGAGCTGAATAGTCTACTCTTGCTCCTATTCCTTGTGTCACATCCACATTTGGTGTCATTGGCAAATTTTGACATTTTAATCTGTATTCCCATGAAAAACAAAAGGAAAAAATTGGATGATAACATTTGCTGCCCATCTCTAATTGCCCTTAATCTGAGGGCAATAAGAGTCAACAACATTGCTGTGTATCTGGAGTCACATGTAGGCCTGACCGGGTGTAAGGTGTGTTTCCTTACATAAAAGGCATCAGTGAACCAGTTTTTTAAAACAACAACTAATGATAGTTGCTATGGTCCCCATTACTGAGACTAGTTTTCAATTACAGGTTCATTAATTGAATTTAAATTCCAGAGGTGCTATTGTGGAATTTGAACCGATGTCCTTCGAGCAGTAAGCTGGGCCCAAGGATTGTTAGTCCAGTGACATTACCATTATGGCACCATGTTTGCATATCCAAGTCATATCTAGGAAACTCAAACTTTTATACAATATTTTTGAAATAATATCCAGTTATTATTTAATTCAAGGCCTTTTGAGCTCTTGAAGACAGTCACCAGTCAAATCATTGTTCAACACTAGAAGTGTGGATGAGTTTGACTCGCTGATGCTGATAATTTATACTGTGGGGCATCAGGCCCTGCAGTTTGACAGAAATGGAAGAAATGGTTTCTTTTAAGAAACAAAAATCTAAATGTTTTTAGTTTGAGTTTTCCAACAGTAAGCAAATAGGAACTCTAAACTAAACTTTATTTCTAAATCTCAATAAATGACTGTCGACGCAGAAGTCTGATTCCTGCCTTGTATGGAGCAAGCAATTGTGTAAATGGTTGAAGCTTGTTGTATAAATTGAGATCGTGAAAGCAGTTTTCTGGGGATGTTGAGCTCAACATAAATCTCCTCATAAGCGATGATGATGAAGGAAGTTGACAAAATGGACCAAACTAAACTGCTATGAAGGGTTTTAACCCCAACAGCCAAAAGTTTAAAGAAAAGGGGAGTGGCGAATAAGGAGCACAGTCCGTCAGAAGTCTACAACTGCACAACTGCCTGTATTCAAAAGGGATTCACTGGATGTCCTAGGGATGTGCAATTGCTATATAAAGGTAATATAATTGAAGTGGATGGTGTAAAGAGTATGGAGGAGCTGTGGGAATAATATATTTTTAGCTGGAGCATTCTGGTGAGGGGACATTGGGCCATGACATTATTTTTTAACATAGCCTATAATTTACAATTTGTGAACCTTTAAGAATTTTTTAAGAAATAATGTTCCATGTTTCTAATTCTACAGTTTGAGAGTATCAAAATGGTCTGTGCGTATTGTGAAGACGTTGCAAAATGAAAAGTTTCAATCTTCTTAATATGCTGGCAAGAATCTCAGGTGCCAGTTACATAACTGGTAAATCTGAATCCCTCTTGCTGTTTTGTAGGCACATCAAGTCTGTAAATTTAGCAACTGTGATTACATAGCCTAAAGTTTGAATTATGAATGCCTAATTACCATGTAAATACCCATACCTATTTGAACTTAACTACTTCTATAGCAATAACCTTGTTAGTTCAGTGACCCATGCTTGACCTGAACTCCTTCCTGCTTCACACACTGTTTACAGTCTAGTTAATATATAAATGTTCAAATTAGATGTGGGAGAAAATAAGGAAAACCAGAATTGGAATTCCTGTCACAATTCGCTTACCATGTGTTCTCAGCATTACGTACCATGACTCCTACGTTCAGAGCAAACAATAGGTTACAAATCTGAAGACTTTTATAGAAAACGTAACTGGGCCATGTAATTAATTTTCTGCTTGCTTTAGTTTGTTTCAGTTTTAGCCAGGTATCCACCTGCTCTAGAGGTGTTAGCTTTTGCTGTGACATGGTTCGATGGCACCTTTGTTGAACAAAGTGTGTTCCTCTGGTCTATATGAAGCAAAATCATTAACCCATTGAGCAGGTTCTCCCCTTATTTATTCTCAAGGCCAGTTGTATAGCACAGTTGTTACTCAGATTGAGGTCAGCCAGCACAAGATACATACCAGAATTTGACCCGGAGTCAAATCAATGGAGTGAATTGAATTGTCTGAAGACTGGTATCTGTAATGCTGAGGACCACTAAAGGAGGCCGAGATGCATCATCCATTCAGCACTTCTAGCTGAAGATTGCCGCGAAAGCTTCAGCCTCATCTTTTGCACTGATATGCCGGACTCTTCCATCATTAAGGATTGGAATATTCGTGGAGCCTCCTCCTCCAGTGAGTTGTTTAGTTGTCCACCACCATTCATGACTGGAAGTGGCATGACTGCAGAGCTTAGATTTGATCCCTTGGTTGTGGAATTGCTTAGCTCTCATTTATCTATCGTTTGCTGCTTACGCTGTTTGACCTGCAAGTAGTCCTGTTTAGTAGCTTTATCAAGTTGATACCTCGTCTTCAGGATTGCCTGGTGCTGCTCCTGACATGTCTTCCTGCACTCTCCATTGAACCAGGATTGATTCCCTGGCCTGATAGTAATGGTTGAGTGGAGGATATGCTGGACCATGAGGTTACAGGTTGTGCTGGAGTACAATTCTGCTGCTGATGGCCCACAGTGCCTCATTGATGTCCAGTCTTGAGTTGCTAGATCTGTTCGAAGTTTGTGCCGTTTAATATGGTGAAAGTCCAAACAACATGGTTGAGTTTATTCTCAATGTGAGCGTGGGACTTTGTTTCCACAGGACTGTGTGGTGGTTGCGCTTACCAAAACTGTTCTGGACAGATGAATGTGCAGCAGGCAGATTGGTAAGGATGAGGTCAAGTATGTTTTTTCCCTCTTCTGGATTCCCTCACCACCTGCTGCAGTCCCAGTTCAGCAGCTATGTCCTTTAGAGCCCAACCAGCTTTATTTGTAGTACTGCTGCCTAGCCAGTCTTGGTGGACATTGAAATCCCCCACACAGTATACATTTTGTGCCCTTACCACCCTCTGTGCTCCCTCTAAGTGTTCCCCAACATGGAAGAGTACTGATTCATCAGCTGAGAGAGGATGATATATGGTAATCAACAGGAGATTTCCTGCCCATGTTTAACCTGGAGCTAAAAGACTTCATGCAGTCCAAAGTTAATGTTGAGGACTCCGAGGGCAACTCCCTCCTGACTGTATGCCACTGTGCTGCCACCTCTGCGCTGCTGGTGGGACAGGACATAGCCAGGAATGGTGATGGTGGTGACTGGGACATTGTCTGTAAAGTATGATTCTGTGAGTGTGACTGTCAGGCTATTGCTTGACTAGTCTGTGAGATAGCTGTCCCAATTTTGGAACTAGCCCCCAGACGTTAGTAAGGAGGACTTTGCATGGTCGATGGGGCTGTTTCTGCCAATGTCTTTTCTGGTGCCTAAGTTGATGCCAGATGATCTGTCCGGTTTCATTTCTTTGAGACTTTGTAGAGATTCATACAACTGAGTGGCTTGTTGGGCCATTTCAGGGGGCAGTTGAGAGTCAACCACATTTCTGAGGAATTTCCAGGTGAGGATGACAGATTTCCTTCCCTGGAGGACATCAGTGAACCCGATGGTTTTTTCCGACAATTGGCAATGATTTCTAGAATTTCTTCGGTTGAATTCAAATTCAACCATCTACTGTAGTAGGATTTGAAAACAGGTCCCTAGAAATCAGAGTTAACATGTCAGAACTCGGCTGTTTTGTGGAAGGGTCACTTGACCCAAAACGTCAACGCAACGTTTTGGTTCGAGTGACCCTTCCACAAGGGTCTGACATGTTAACTCTGATTTCTGTCTACAAATGCTGTCAGACCTGGTGAGCTTTTCCAGCAATTTCTATTTTTGTCTCTGATTAACAGCATTTCGCAGTTCTTTTGGTTTTTATTATTAATAAAGGAGCTTTGCCCAAGAAAGGTTACTGGATGCAACAGCAACAGTTTTGCACCTGCAAGGAACAGGGAGCTTGGATGGAGTCATACATTGGAATACCTTAGAAAAACATCACGTGCCCCAATTTGAGTTTTTTTTTCTAAAGGACAAATATTTATGCAATCCAAACTGACAGTTAGTTATTTTTGATAATAAATCATTCTTTGTTGTTCATTAAAAGAAACCTGCCTGACTTTTTTTTACTACGGCCCTTAATGCAATCTGAGTTCTACATAATTAACCATATTTATTACATCTGAATTTTGTTGTGATTACCAGTGAACTGGGACTGGAAAGGAAATAGTGCACCCTTCCAACCTCAGTCTTAACACCTTTTAAGTGTATTTTATGGCTTGTTTTTATAGAAAATATTATTTTGCAGTATCGTCTAGGTGGTAGGTTATTGTGCCTCCTCCTTTCAGATTTAGCATAAATCACCTAGTGGCCATTTGGCTCACTGTTTTGACCGTGTTCCGCTGCTATAGTAAGTCTTACTTAATCTTGCTAATAGTGTGTTACTGCTTGTGACATTGATGTTTGTGACATTGTTGAAGTTGTCTTGGTACACAATGACCTTGATGGTCTTATCTGCTTACTAGCTCAGCTGTATGTCAAACGTAGACTCTGTTCGATCTCAGTACTTACCATTTTCAGTGTCACTGACATATGACCTTGGAGTTTCAGCTTTAAATACCTTTAATACAATAAAACCAAAAATTGAGGATGCTGGAAATCTGAAACAAAAATAGAAATTGCTGGAGAAACTCTAGGCCTGGCAACATCTGTGAAGAGAAAGCAGAGCCAATATTTTGGGCCCAGTGATCCTTCGTCAGCTGAAAGGTCGTTGGATTCGAAACATTGACTCTGCTTTCTCAAATACTTTTAAGTTTTTTATGATTGGATCCTATACTTAAACAGCTTCTCCTTTCAACAATTCAGGCAGGGATTTTAATTTTTAATTGGAATGTTAAGTTCTTTTTAGCTTTGCAACAGGTAGTTGTCTGTCTTTTTCTTGGTCACTTGGAAGGATTTTGCTTGACAGGGATGTCTTGTATCTTCTTCCTCTCATTAACCCTGTAGACAATCCCATGTTAGGTGAGAGGTGTAGATCAGTGTGACAGTAAAGCAAGGAATGAGTTTTCTTTTGTCTTATCAATTTTTGAGGGTTGTTTTAGCTGTTATTCTTTTTTCTAAACCTATGTTTTCTTGGATCACGTGGTGATAATGAGTTTGTACTGTTTAGTGAATTTACAGCTTAATCTGAGCTGAATAGGATGGCAATAATGGCATTCTTGTCAGATACAGGATCCTAACTCAGGGACTTAGCACTAAAGGTCAATTTTAAAATTCCTAAAGAGACCAGGATGGCTCTTTCAGCCAATTTATGAGTATCTATTGAATCTCATTTGTGCTGAGTTAAAGCCTCTGAATTTTTGTCAGATCCTTCCCTCATCATCCTGCCTCCCCTTCTAACAGCTAGTGAGTCTATTTCCAGCCCAATTTCCTGCCCCTTGCCATCAATTTCCACTGCTTTGAAAGTTCTGAGCTGTGGCCTCCTGTCACTAGCTACATAACACCACTCGCATCTCGTTCTGTTGAGATGTTGGCCAGGATTCCAGGTAGTTGATATAATTGGCAGAGGCTATGTTGCCCTCACCTTGAAGGCTGTTATGGTGCTCTGTGAAAGTCAAGGCTGTGATGTTTCAGTCCAGCTTTTTTTTTTAATAGACCATGTTCTATGAATGTTTGAAGACATTACAACGACTGTGTGGTTTTCTACTAATTGGGGAATTTAAGACCTACTTTGACTCTTCCTAGACTTCTAAACAATGGTATCCCTTCACAATCCTGAAGTTTTTAAAATTCAAACTTGTCATCACCTAATCACTTCAAATTTGCCTTAGTATTTCATTATTAATAAAAACTGTAGATTGAGGTCACTTCAAAGGAAGCGCCTGTTCAGCCAATCAAAGTGACAGGAGGAAAACTATTTTCATGCAACAAGTGGTTAAAGCCTGAGAGTGTGGTGGAAAAAGGTTCAATCAAGTCGACCAAAAAGGAATTAGGTTATTAGGAATGGGCATTAAATTGCAGAATTCATTTGTGTCTGTTGAATGAACAAAATCTAAATCAGAAAAGGCAGAATGCAGGGTTACCGGGAAGGAGGTGGGGGTATGGCACTAAGTGAATAACTCATGAGGAGAAACTGGATAGACATGATGAGCCGAACATTCCTCTATCCTTTCTTTTTAACAATTCTATGTTAGTAAATACTTGAATTCTTATCCTACCTCTCTGCTTTTTTTTTCTTAGACTGCTGAGTACACAAACAAAATGTGATGAAACCCACAAGGTTTTTCGCCCAGAACCTTCCTTCACCAAGAATCTGATGGAAATTGGCACTCGCCGCGTCTCTTCTGAAGAGCATGACACATTCAGACAAAGCGTGAGAAGATTCTTTGAAGCAGAAGTGCTTCCATATCATTCACAGTAAGCAGCCTTGCAAAGTTTTGACAAAATATTACAAATGATACAATAAGGTTAATTGTAATTTCCTAGCTGCTGTTCTTACCTACTGCAGATGTGCCAACCCCATCACATCATAAATTATGACATATATACTGGATTTTCAAATGGTTTGAGGAAATACTTTTTCAAACACAAGCCATTATAGATTGACCGATGGTTCATAAAGTCATTAGTGACTTGAGCTTATCCAATTTAAATTCAAATAACTAATAAAATGCTAGCCTCCTAATAATGAAACACCGGATTTTTGCAAAACCCGATCTGCTTCATGAATGCCATTCAGGGGAGGAAATCTGTTGTTCTACTCTGGCCTACAGTGACTCCAGATCCATAATAATGTGGATGACTGTTAACTGCCATCTGAAATAACCAAGCAAGCTACCCACTTGTACTAAACTATCACAGACCAGAAGAATCAGAAGAAAATGAAATGGACCTACGCATCAGGAGAAACATAGCTCACACACCCTGCCTAGTCATTTCTGCAAAGTTCTCCTTACTAACATCAAAGTTGGGAAGACTGTCCCACAGGTTAATCATCTTGGGAAGGGTCACTGGACCCAAACCGTTAACTCTGACTTTTTTTTTCTTTGCAGATGCTGCCAGACCTCCTGAGCTTTTCCAGCAACTTCTGTTCTGGCATCATCTACCTTGTTGTGTAACACAAATACCATGCTCAGTGGGATAGACTCAACAAATCTAGCAGTGCACATCTATAAAGAGCTGTGGACCATCTGCAACATACAAATTGTGGCTGGATACAATTTTAATCTAATTCAGGCCCAGAGATCCCTCACTACCAGTACCATCAAGTTAGGAATCAACCCTGGTTCAAGGAGGCATGCTGGAGAGTCTGCCAGAAACTGCAGCAGGCATACAAAAAAGGGCACAAATCAAGAGTGCTGGATCTCACTCCGTATGCTGAATAAGTGCGACTCCAGAACCTAAGCTCAACATCATCCAAGTCAAACAGGCTGCTTGTTTCTTCTAAATTCCAACATTATCACCCCTCATCTTTCAATGAATATAAGCCTAACCCATTCAAGCTTTCTTCATAAGGTAAGTTCATTCCTGGGATGAAGAATTGAATTAATCTTTTTCTGAACTTCTTTTAAATCAACTATATGTTTTTCAAATAAGGAGACCAAAACTAAACAGTTATCTGTAGGTGATATAAGATAACAAGGTGTAGAGCTGGATGAACACAGCAGGCCAAGCAGCATCAGAGGAACAGGAAGGCTGATGTTTCGGGCCGAGACCCTTCTTCAGAAATGGGGGAGGGGAAGGGGGTTCTGAAATAAATACGGAGAGAGGGGGAGGCGGATAGAAGATGGATGGAGGAGAAGGTAGGTGGAGAGGAGACAGACAGGTCAAAGAGGCGGGGATGGAGCCAGTAAAGGTGAGTGTAGGTGGGGAGTTAGGTCAGTCCAGGGAGGATGGACAGGTCGAGGGGGTGGGATGAGGTTAGTAGGTAGGAGATGGGGGTGGGGCTTGAGGTGGGAGCAGGGGACAGGTTAGGGAGGTGGGGACAAGCTGGGCTGGTTTTGGGATGCGATTGGGGGAGGGGAGATTTTGAAGCTTGTGAAGTCCACATTGATACCATTGGGCTGCAGGGTTCCCAAGCGGAATATGAGGTGCTGTTCTTGCAACTTTCAGGTGGCATCGTTGTGGCACTGCAGGAGGCCCAGGATGGACATGTCGTCTAAGGAATGGAAGGGGGAGTTGAAATGGTTCGCGACTGGGAGGTGCAGTTGTTTAGTTGGGGTTGGAGCAAAGGGAGCGGAGGGCTGCACGTTCTGTGGGGGAGAGGTTGAGGCGATTGATGTCACGCCCTCCGCTCCAACCCCAACCTCACCATAAAACCCACGGACAAAGGAGGCACCGTTGTAGTATGGCGGACTGACCTCTACATCGCCGAGGCCAGGCGCCAACTCTCCGACACCACCACCTCCCACCCCCTTGATCATGACCTCACCCCCGACCACCAAACCATCATCTCCCAGACCATCCACAACCTCATCACCTCAGGTGACCTCCCACCCACAGCCTCCAACCTCATCGTTCCCCAACCCAGCACCACCCACTTCTATCTCCTTCCCAAAATCCACAAACCTGACTGCCCTGGTTGAACCATTGTCTCCGCCTGCTCCTGCCCCACCGAACTTATCTCCACGAAACCCGACTCCATTTTCTCCCCCTTGGACCAGGAACTCCCTACCTATGTCCGTAACACCACCCATGCCCTCCACCTCCTCCAATTCCAATTCCCTGGTCCCCAACACCTCATCTTTACCATGGACGTCCAGTCCCTCTACACCTGCATTCCCCATGCAGATGGCCTAGAGGCCCTCCGCTTCTTCCTGTCCCGCAGGCCCGGCCAGTCCCCCTCCACTGACACCCTCATCCGCTTAGCCGAACTCGTCCTCACCCTCAACAACTTCTCTTTCGATTCCTCCCACTTCCTACAGACAAAGGGGGTGGCCATGTGTACCCGCATGGGCCCAAGCTATGCCTGCCTCTTTGTAGGTTATGTGGAACAATCCCTCTTCCGTAGCTACACTGGTCCTAAACCCCATCTCTTCCTCCGTTACATTGATGACAGTATCGGCGCCGCCTCGTGCTCCCACGAGGAGCTCGAACAGTTTATCCACTTCACCAACACCTTCCACCCCAACCTTAAGTTCACCTGGACCATCTCTGATACCTCTGTCTTCTTCCTGGATGTCTCTGTTTCCATCTCTGGCAACCACCTGGAAACCGACATCCATTTCAAGCCCACCGACTCCCACAGCTACCTATAATACACCTCCTCCCACCCACCTTCCTGCAAAAATGCCATCCCCTATTCCCAATGCCTTCGCCTCCGCCGCATCTGCTCCCAGGATGAGACATTCCACTCCCGTACATCTCACATGTCCTCGTTTTTCAAGGACCGCAACCTCCCCCCTCCTCGGTGGTCGAGAACGCCCTCGACCGTGTCTCCCGCATTTCCCGCAACTCATCCCTCACACCCCCTCCCCGCAATAACAACCAAAACAGAATCCCCCTCGTTCTCACATACCAACCCACCAACTTCCGGATCCAACGCATCATCGTCCGACACTTCCGCCATCTGCAATCCGACCCCACCACCAAAGGTATTTTTCCCTCCCCACCCTTATCTGCTTTCCGGAGGAACCACTCTCTCCGTGACTCCCTTGTCCGCTCCACACTCCCCTCCAGCCCCACCACACCTGGCACTTTTCCCTGCAACCGCAGGAAGTGCTACACCTGCCCCTACACCTATCCCCTCGCCCCCATCCCAGGCCCCAAGAAGACTTTCCACATCAAGCAGATGTTCACCTGCACATCTGCTAATATGGTATACTGTACCTGCTGTTCCCGTTGTGGCCTCCTCTACATCGGGGAAACCAAGCGGAGGCTTGGGGACCGCTTTGCAGAACACTTATGCTCGGTTCGCACTAAACAACTGCACTTCCTGGTTGCGAACCATTTCAACTCCCCCTCCCATTCCTCAGACGACATGTCCATTCTGGGCCTCCTGCAGTGCCACAATGATGCCACCCGAAGGTTGCAAGAACAGCACCTTATATTTTGCTTGGGAACCCTGCAGCCCAATGGTATCAATGTGGACTTCACAAGCTTCAAAATCTCCCCTCCCCCAACCGCATCCCAAAACCAGCCCAGCTTGTCCCCGCCTCCCTAACCTGTCCCTTCCTCCCACCTCAAGCCCCACCCCCATCTCCTACCTACTACCGCCCCCTTGACCTGTCCGTCCTCCCTGGACTGACCTATCTCCTCCCTAACTCCCCACCTACCCTCACCTTTACTGGCTCCATCCCCGCCTCTTTGACCTGTCTGTCTCCTCTCCACCTATTTTCTCCTCTATCCATCTTCTATCTGCCTCCCCCTCTCTCCATATTTATTTCAGATCCCCCTTCCCCTCCCCCATTTCTGAAGAAGGGTCTCGGCCTGAAACGTCAGCCTTCCTGTTCCTCTGATACTGCTTGGCCTGCTGTGTTCATCCAGCTGTATACCTTGTTATCTCAGGTTCTCCAGCACCTGCAGTTCCTACTATCTCTGTAGGTGGTATGATTGGAATATATTAGATCTTGAGGGGTCTACATAGGGTGAATACCCAGAGGATTTTTTTCTCTTTTAGGGGTGAGTAAAACTAGGGGATATATTTTAAAAATAAGTGTTTTTTTTCTGATACAGCTTATTAGAATGTGCAGTTAGGTGGATTGGCCATGCTAAAATGTCTGAGTGCCTATGGATGTGCAGCCTAGGTGGACTAGCCTTTGTGATTTCTGGCTTATAGGGAGCTGGGTCTGGATGGGATGCTCTTCAGAGGGTTAGTGCAGACTTGATGGGCTGAATGGCCTCCACACTGAAGGGATTCTATAATCTGATCCTGGGATCTTGATAGTGTATTATACATGAGGTCTTCTTCTCTGGTGTGATGGTAATTGTTTCAAATTCATCCCACCCTATCACCTCTTGATTTTAAATGATCTTTCCTACTTTTCTAAGTATTCTACCATGAACACACACATATACTTAATCAAAGCCTCTGCTATTTTAAATTTTCCAAACTGTCTCTCTAGAGGATCAACATGACTGTTAGTTGCCCTAGCATTTAAATACTTGTAGAAGCACTTCTTATCTGTTTTTTATATTACTAGCTGCCTTTCTTTCACCACTCTGCTTTGTATCTCTTTATTATAGCATCAGAAACAGACCCTTCAATCCAACCAGTCTATGCCGAACATACTCCTAGACTAAACTAGTCCCACCTGTCTGTTCCTGGCCAGTATCTCTCCAAACCTTTCCTATTCCTATCTAAGTGTCTTTTAAATGTTGTGACTGTGCCCGCACCACCACTTCCTCAGGAAGTTCATTCCACACGCGAACCACCGTCTGTGTTTTAATAAAAAAAGTTTGCCCCTCATGTCTTTTTTAAAAATATGCCCCTAGTCTTTAAAGTAATTCTTTACTGATTCTTAAGGTCTGTCTAATCTATCATTAATTTTTGCAGATTTGTACATTCTTTCAATTTAATAGTCTCCTTAACTTATTTAGTCACTGCTGATGCATCCTTCTCGAAGAGTCATATTTTAGCACTGCATAAATCTTTTGAGTTATTAAGTATTTCCTTAAAAATCTGCCACTGTAACCCTCTTCTTATATTTTAACCTAGTTTCTCAGTTCATCTTACCTGGCACTGCCTTCATACTCTCATAGTTACCTTTATTTAGGTTTAAAGCACTCATTATGGATCCACACTTTTTTCTCTTTTCAACCTGAACATGAAGTTTTATCATGCTGTGATCATTGTAGCCTAGAGACTTCTTTACCATGAGGTTACTGATTAACCCTGTCATATTGCTTATTATCAGAAGGTTATTGATTAATCCTGAGTTATTGCACATGACTAGTTCTAACAAAGTCTACTCTCCGGTTTGCTCTTGAATGTATTATTCTAAGAAATTATCCTGGAGAAACTCACTTTCCTGGTTCCCTTTGCCAATCCTTTCCCCCAAACTATACCACGGTTAAAATTATACATGATTATTGCAGTATATTTCATATTGTCTCATTTATTTTCTTCCTGTGTGCTGTGCCCAATAGTAAAACCACCATAGGGAGCTTATAAACTACGCCCACAGTAACCTATTATCTTGGCTATTTTTTTATCTGTACCCAAATTGATATGACATTTTGGTCACTTCTCAGTATTGAACTAATGCCATTCTTAATTAACAGAGCTGCATCACTGCCTTTTTCATAGCTTTTTGTCATTTTGATAAGTCAAATACCACTCAACATTCAGATCCAAGCCTTTGCTACCTTTCAACCATACCTCTGTAATGCATATTCAGGTAATAAATATTTAACTAGATATAACACAGTGTGGAGCTGGAGGAGCACAGCAGGCCAGCCAGCATCAGAGGAGCAGGAAAGTTGACATTTCAGGTCGGGACCCTTCTTAGTTGTTACTATCTCTTTTTATATTTGTGATAAATATAAATAAATATTTATATTTATTTGTCTTAACA